GGGGATGGGCTGCCGGGGAACCAGCGGGCCGGAGCCCCCGGGGAGCGCGCCGCCGCCGGGTCCCTGTCCGCCTCCCGCGTCCCCGCTGCGCCCGCGTCTCTGCGTCCCTCCGCCCAGGTGTGCCCCGGGGGCATCCCCGGCACCACGGCCCGGCCTTCCGCGGTCCCCCTGGGCAGGGGTCTGGGCCTCCGGGTTCCTGTCCCGGTCTCCTTGCCCCGCTCTCAGTCCGGCTCGGGCTCCCGAGGCCCGGGGAGGGGGCAGGTTCTGGCCTGTGCCTCCCCCCTCATGCCCCGCCCCGGGGCCCAGATTCCGGCGTCCGGGGGCGGACGGGAGACGCCCGGCCCGTCTACCCGCCCCGGGCCGCGTCTGCTCCGACGGGCGGGGCAGCCAGAGCGGGAGAGGGAGAGGGCAGCCCGCCCCGGGCCTGCGACCTGCCCTGGGCGCGCCACCCCGGGACTCGGGACCCCCAGTCCCTCCTCCCCCGGACCCACCAGTCCGGTCTGAGCTCTCTCTGCCTTCTCCCGCCCCCAGGTGTTTGCTGCCTGGTCCTGGTCGCTCTGAGCCTGTGGCCGGATAGAGCTGCTGCCCCGGGGCCACCGCCGGGCCCCCCACGGGCCTCCCCAGACCCTCGGGCCGAGCTGGACAGCGCCGTCCTCCTGACCCGCTCTCTCCTGGCGGACACTCGACAGCTTGCTGCGCAGCTGGTGGGAGGGCCTGCCGGGGGCTGGGCTGGGACAGGGACCCGGAGTGTGGAGGGCTTCTGGGCTCGCAGGGAAACAGCGGGAGGGGGGAGTCTGGGGCCTGTCTGCAGGATGGGGGGACCCTTGGAGCTGGGCAGGGTCCCCCTCAAGGCTTCTTTTTCCCCACAGAGAGACAAATTTCCAGCCGACGGAGACCACAACCTGGACTCTCTTCCCACCTTGGCCATGAGTGCAGGGGCGCTGGGAGCCCTACAGGTAAGGGGAGGGGAAGGGGAAGAGGGGGCAGAGGTGAGAGCTGGGCGGTGGCCAGGGTGCAAGGGGGGCTGGGGGCCAGAGCAGGCGTGTGGCAGGTGTTCCGTGATGCCCCCCATGCCTCCTAGCTCCCAGGTGTGCTGACGCGGCTGCGGGCAGACCTGTTCTCCTACCTGCGGCACGTGCAGTGGCTGCGGCGGGCGGGCGGCCCTTCCTTGCGGACCCTGGAGCCGGAGCTGGGTGCCCTGCAGGCCCGGCTGGACAGACTGCTGCGCCGGCTGCAGCTCCTGGTACGACCTCGCAGCTCCCAGGCCCCATACCTAGACTTGAAACCTGAGACCCTGGGACCCCAGACTCCAGGCCTGCTCGGAGACCCCCAGCCCCCTCGAGTTCCCAGACCCTGGCCCAAAGCCAGCCTGGAGACCCTGACTCTGCAAACTCCAGACCTCAAGAGCCTACATCCTGAGATCTCGGATGAGACGACCCCAGATCCTGAGCTCTGAGTCTCTAAGACCTCAGATGCTGGTTGTGAGCCCTTAAGACCACCAAACCCTGACCGCCAAAACCTGAGACCCAAGAACCTGAGATCAGAAAACTTTAGTTGCCCGTTCCTAGGCCTGACCACAAAGACCCTGGACCTCAAATTCCAGCTCCCAGTTCTGAGACCCCAGCCCTCACCCACAAGTCCCTGAGCTTGGATCCTAGAGGCCCCACATGTAAGACACCAGCCCCAAGATCTTGGACCTGACCCCAGACTTGAGCCTACAGCCCCCAGCGCTCACCTAGCATCAGGATCCCAGCCCTGACTCTATAGACTTCACCCCTCAATCCTCTGAGCTTGGCCCTCTCCAGCTTTGAGACCTCCACCTTTTGGCCCCAGCCTCCACTTTCTGAACCCAAGATGTTGAGAACTCCCCACCCAGAAACCCTACCCTGCGGGTTAAAGACCCTCTGGAAACATGCAGCCTGGACTCCCAGGTTCCAAACGGCCCTTCCCGGGACCCCCCACTGCACCCCCACCCATTGCTAACCTTCTGTCTTCTCCCAACAGATGTCCCGCCTGGCCTTACCCCAAGCACCCCCAGACCCACCAGCTCCCCCACTGGCCCCCCCAGCCTCCGCCTGGGGAGGCATCAGGGCAGCCCACGCCATTCTTGGGGGGTTGCACCTGACCCTTGACTGGGCCGTGCGGGGCTTGCTGCTGCTGAAGACTCGGTTGTGACCAGCTACACAGAACTGCCAACGTCCTTCGATGCCACATCTTATTTATTTATTTATTTGGGGACTAGGGGCATGGAGGTCAGGAGATACCCCCCTCTTCTTCTCCCCCTAATTAGAGACGGTCCCTCCAGGAGACCTGGGCAGAAGAGGGGGGGGGCATCTGTGCCTTATTTATACTTATTTATTTAAGGGCGTGGGTGGGAGGTGGGTGGGCTTGGGGACCAAAGGGTGAGGGAACTGGAGTCCTGGATTCTTGAATCTCTAAGACGTCTGGCCACAGTGTTTCCCTGTTCCCCACGCCTCTGGGCCTAGGCAGGAGCATATATTATTTATTAAACAATTACTTTTCGTGTTGGGGTGGGGAGGGAAGGGAAAAGAGGCCTGGGTTTTTGTACAAAATGCAAGAAACTTTTGTACGATACAGAAGGGGGAATTAAATTTGTCATACACATCCACTTAGAGGTGATTTCTCTGAGGGCTGGGGGCTGGGGTCCCTGGAGTAGAGGGAGGCAGGGACCCTTAGTGGGCAGGACAGCAGAGGGGAGATGGTTGGTCCTCCAGGGCAGGGTCTGAGCCTCATCTGGTGCACAGCACTTCATAGACTCTCAATAAATATTTAATAGAAGGTTCCAGAAGGTCATCCAGTGCCCTACAGTGCTTGTACATGACAAGGCTGCAAGTTCGAGGTCATTCATTATGGCAGTTCGCAACAGCAAATTGGAAGCAACCTAGATGTTCAACAGTGAGGGATGGTTTAATAAATGACACCCATCTGTGTGATGGAATACTATTAGCCATAAAGGGGGGATGATACAGAGGCGGCTTTAAGACATAGAGAAAACAGGCTACTAACCACTGCACGATTCCCACTTTGCTTCTCTGGATGGATGGATGGGTGGATGGATATATAGATTTTTTAAGAAGTCCTAGAACACAGGGCACCTGGCTGGCTCGGTCAGTAGAGCATGTGACTCTTGATCTCTGGGCTGTGAGTTCAAGTGCCACGTTGGGCATAGAGCTTACTTTAAAATAATAATTAAAAAAAAAAACCTCCTAGAAGAAAATACACCAAAATGTTGACCATGGTCCCCTCAGGGTGGAAGGCAGGGTGGGATTATGGGTGCTTTCATTATTTGTGCTTGTCCGAATTACTCAGAGTTTCTACAGTGACCGTGTGTTTTGCATGACCCATTAAAAAAAAAAAATGATACACACTTTTTAGAAGGACGGAATGCCAGCCAACCCCTTCCCCCAAAATAAGACCTCAGAAGGAGTCAGGAATGACTGCTCACTGAGTGTGTGCTCTGGGCCGTGTCTTAAGTGTGGGGTTTTACTTACATGATCCCCTGAATGCTCCATCATGCCCCACTTTCCAGGTGAGAGAAAGTGAGGCTGGCGGGGGAGGGGACATGGTGTTCAAGGTCACACCTTGAAAGGGACCACTGTGTTTCTGCCAGAGGTCCAGCTCCTTCCAAAGCCCGTGCCCCTTTCTTTATAACCAATGTTCAGCAATCTGTTCAGCAATCACTGCCACAGACACAAATCGGTTATATATGGGGAAACTGAGGCTCAGTGGGGGGTATGAGTCTTCCTCAA